CTGAGCATAACTTGGTCTTCTGTCAAAAATGGTGGTCCCCTTTCCAGAGAGTCTAATTTATGTTCCTTCTATTCAGGCAGGAGGCCAGGATAGGAGCTGAGAATGTCACCTCTGTCAAGGAGTTTATCTTGCTGGGACTCAGCAGCCAGAGAAAAATCCAGCTTCTCCTCTTTGTGGTCATTCTCATCATCTACCTGCTTACAGTTCTGGGGAACCTGCTGATCATGATCCTGGTGCAGATTGATGTTCGGCTCCATACACCCATGTACTATTTTCTCTCTCACCTTGCAGGGATAGAGATGTGTTACGTCACCAGCACCTTGCCTCTCATGTTATCCCACCTGATGGCTGGAAACGGAGCCATCTCTTTTGCACTCTGCACCATCCAGACGTACATCGCATTGACCATGGGAAGTACAGAGTCCTTGCTATTGGGTGTCATGGCCTATGACCGTTACCTTGCCATTTGCCGTCCCCTAATATATGCTGTTATCATGGGCAAGGGGTGCCAGTTGCAGTTTGCTTTAGCCTGCTGGGTAATTGCTCCTCTGCTTTGTGCCATCTGTATTACCTGCCTTGTCTGCCAATCTTATTGTGGTCCCAACCAGATCAACCACTTCATATGTGAAGTGCCAGTGGTGCTAAAACTTGCATGTGGTGATACACAAATTGCTGAGGACATTATTTTTGGTATAGGAGCATTTGTCCTTCTGCTTCCCCTTTCTGTTATTCTGACCTCCTATGGATTTATACTTTATTCCGTATCCCATATGAAGTCAAATGTTGGACGGCGCAAGGCTTTCTCTACGTGTGGTTCCCATTTGATTGTGGTCTCCTTGTTTTATGGCTCTGCCATCTTGATGTACATGATTCCAAAGTCAGATTCATCTCCTGATCGTGATAAGCAAATTGCAATCTTCTATGTTCTGATTACCCCTCTGTTCAACCCCATCATTTATACTTTGAGGAACAAGGACATCCACAGGGCAGCATCCAAGATGTTGTGAAGAGTTGCTTTGTACCAGTCAAACGAACTTTAGAGTTTCCACCATGCTTAATTAGCTAACTGCTTAATAACCCAAACTGATGGTGTGAAAGTAGATGATCATGAGTATTACTCCATAATACATTTAAGGTGAGTTTCTCTAACCATGAAGTCAACTCAACGAATTCTATGGGTGAACTATTTCTCATCCTTTTCACATGACTCTTGTGGTAAAAAAATAAAGAAAATGCTCTAAATCTCTTTTGATCTAACTCTCTTGGAAACCCTATGTAGAATTTATAATATGATGTGTGCATACACTTGAAGCTGATTGCTATACATGCCTCATTCTCTGAATTGGGTGTGAACCCCTTGGATATGGTATTACCATCTTAGTTTCTTTTGAAATGATCTCACTGAGACTTTAGAGATATGTTTTAATATTTGAATTCATTTAAAATTATACAGTTGGCCTACAGGCTGGAGTTCACCACTGAATACCTTCCCATATAAATCTTCGAGACTAGTACGCCTCTCATTTTCTATCTATCTGTCTAACTGCAGATAGATAGATGTTGTATCTAGAGTATTGTAAAGGTCATCTCCTCGTTAACCTACCAGATTCATTTTCAGAGAAGGAATGAGGGAGAAAGTAGGGAAATTAATATAATATTGTTCAAGAA